TAAATATAAAAAAATGGTACATTTGGTTCAAACATATCTTTTTTCTGAGTGTGGGATGTTCTCAGGATATTTATGAATATCTCTGGGACATCCAATGGATATACTAATTTCCGGGTATCCCTAAAACGTCCATGAAATATCCTAAATATCCGGATGCTGTTAAGAATGCAATTCTAGTTAACCCTCACAGCACCGGATATTTAAGGATATTCCTTGGACATCCTCAGGATATTCTAAGGATGTACAAACCGCCGGAAGCAAATTAATATTTAAAAATGTACCATTACCCTCTGAAAAGTGATGCTACATCAAAGCAAATGTAACTTTCTTCACGTTTTTGAAAGTAGAAAATGACACTGAGGCTAATGTACTGAAAAAAAATGTCAATAGTGATTTAAGTTGTTGTGAATAACAAAATTTATTCTTTTTCAAGATGTTTAAGAATCTAATGAATGGAAGATCTAATTTTGTTATTGAAAAGTGTTGAAGAATTATAATAATCCCAAGAAATCCGGTTTCTAGTTTATAAGAAAATTTGTGCACAGATATTAATTTCTTAATTTTCCAGACATCGGGAAACCACTTTAAGGTTTAATTTTTTAAATGCTTCCAAATATTAAAATTATAATTTTAATATTTGCAACCTTAAAATTTAGATAAAATTTTAATAATTATTAAAATTTTATCATAATTTGAAGGTTATGTTCGTTTCTTGGTTAAGAAAATTCAAGGTTATGTTTGTCGGACATAGTCTTGAACCCAACAGTCCCTTGACCTATGTCCTTGAATTGAGGTTATGTTTGAACTAAGGTCTTGAATCCTGAAAACCTATGCTCTAAAATTTTGAAGTTATGTTTGTACTGTAGACCTAGGACCTTAAATTTTGAGGTTATTTTCGTTTTAATACCAAAATGTAGGTAGATATATATGGGTCATTCCACGTCAATTCGCTGCTGGGTTTGACATTAAAATCAGAACTAAAATAGGTATATATATATATGGGTCATTCCATATCAAGTGTAACCAACCTAAGATATATAATATATATTTAATTTTATTTTATTATCACTTTTAATACTTAAAAATTAGAATTGATTTGACTGTTTATTTAAAGTTAGACAGACTGAAAATTCGCACCTGGGAACGTGTAAATGAATATGAATTTTCTGCAGGGATAATAGCATTAACGAACTGTATTACGCTAACGTACAAAAGGATCGATGTGACTCATGTATTCGCATATGCTACCACGTTAACAGTCTTCGTAGTAAAAAGGCTTTGTGCATACATATATGTGTATACAAATGTGTGTAATATACACAATGCACACGTAAATTTCAAGTGCATGTGGATGTATGCCACGTGCGCATTGCAGTTTTTGGTTCGCTTCACTATACAAGTCTATAATATGTTATATGGTCAAATAACTTTTTACGCTCGGTAGTTGCGTACTATTTTTTCTTTTCAATAAGTTTGAACCTTTTTTTTTTACTATACTTTACTGACAAAATTATGGGTAGTATTTTATTTTTTCGTTAAAATGTTTGTTAAATTATTTTTTTTAAACTTATATAAGTGTCGAAAATTCATTTACCAAAAACATCAAAAAGAAGGTTAAAATGAAATAAAATGCTGTTTAAATATTACACGTATAAGGTATGTGTCATAAACACTTAGTTTTTATGTACGAGGGACATCAAAAAACGTCTTAAAAATTCATTTTACTTTTATGATAAATTTCACACAGAAACGGAAACTGAAGCTAAAAATAAAAATTGTTTGCAAAAAAAATAATTATTTGCGGAATAAATTATTTTTAATAAAAAATAAAATTTATTTATAATTATTTATGCATAATGTCTTCTAATATAAAAAATATTAATATTTTAACAATCTGACAATCTCACAAATTTATTGCTATTTCACTTGTTTCACCATCAATGCTTCATTAGCATAAATAAATAAGACGTTATGCTTTTACACTTATAACGCAATATTATCCATATAGTAACGTATATACTTTTATATCCATTCTCTTACGAGTACATTACGGTTGTTGACATCTCTCTCGAAGAATAATACAGAAATTATTATTTTCATGACAATTTTTATAATAAAAAATTTTTTCTCTAATTAAAAATTTATAAGTTTTTTGATAGTTCAGATCTTAAAAGTTTGGGAAGAAAATATTTTCAGCTGTGCGTAAACAATTTTTTATCAGCTATACTATTTCTATTTCTCTAAATCTGAATTAAAAAAAACAAGTGGTCAGTAATAAGAATAAATGAAAAACAAAATTGTAGTAAAGATTTATCCATATTTACAGTCGGTATAGAATAATAAATAAGATAATATACGCGTTAATAGAAGAGAGTGACTTATGACATTTTATCGGAAAAGTGCGAAAGTGTTTTCTTCGGAAATGCCTACGTAAACATGTACATTTTGCAAGCTTAGAAAAGTGGTTTCATCGGATTGGACTTCATGATAGTATATAGTTGATCGAATATAGGTGACGATGTGGTAAACCTCGTTGCACAAGTGAAAGAGTTGCGCGCGGACTCAAAATGTCAAGGATGCCACCACGTGCAAGTACGTAACAGACAATGATACCTGGAGGCGCATAGGGAATTGTTATTTTGTCACACACGCCCCGCGTGCGAATAATAGACAGTATAAATAATATTATGTCCACATTTAAAAAAAAAAAAAAATTACTATATAAGTATACTTACCAAGATCCAATATTTTTTTTCCCTGTTATAAGCTTTGTGACATTAATATATCCATAAACAACAACAAAAGGATATTCTTGATATTTCTGATAAAAAATTGTAATGAATCGCAAACTATGAATGTGCAACTAATTTGTCGCACATTTGAAGTAGATGAAAATAATATGAAAAATGAATTTTTGGTGTTAAATTAACACTATTTTTTTGTCTTGGAAAGATGTAAATGTGATATTACAATTATTTTGTTATTGCACAATAAAATAGTAATTTTTAAAAACAATTTCTACTTGTAAAATAGATGACGAGTGCATTAAGCTTAATCAAGCTTAATTAAGGCTTCGCTAGTGTGTTAGTTGATACTAGATGGGAGAGTAGAAGCAAAGCCGTTCTAAGCTAAAATGTATAATACTGTTTGAAGCTTACTAGATATCAAGCTCAGTTCAAGATTGATGCACACGTTTGAATCAACCTTGAGAAAGTCTGATTCAGCTCGTTCAATCATACTCACATTGTAATTTATAGAAGGTTAATCAATGAATATAACGCAAATAGTAGTAATAATAATAATAATAATAATAAAATAATAATAATAAGTAACAATTTTATAAATGTGTAAAACTTTACTTTATTTTTTTTAATTTAAAAAAGTTTTGACCTTAAATATAACTTATTGATTGAATGAAATTTTTTAACTATTAGAATCTAGAAGATAATTGTCTTCTAGATATAATTTAGTTTCTATAATAATATAGAATAATATAGAATAGATTCTATAATAGTTATAGAGAGTGAAAAGTGTTTGTTTTGAAAACCAACAGATGGCGCGCTCGCGCTATCGGTACTGCGTTGCTCTGACGGTATTTGTTACATAAATTAATAAATCTATTTCTATATTTCTAATATTTTCTTTGAAAATAAAAATATAATAAATATATTCGATATTATAGTTCGATTTACGTGTTTAGATTATTATTCCTAATTGTTTCATTTTACAAAATAAAATTATAATATAAAGATAAATTGCGGTTAATGTAGTGAATGTGAACTGTTTGACTTATAAAATATTAAAGAAATAAGTATATTTAGATGATATACTCATTTTTATAATTTTCAATATTGTCATGTTAGCACTAATAAAAGGTGGAAATTTTCAAACTTGCACAAACCTCGCCTCAATGTTTCTCTACAATATTTGATTAATGATTTATTTTATATTAAAATAGGGCATACTTTAATTATTGATTATATAAAACTAATAAAAACAATTATATTTATAAAGAAACTTCTTTTATTACTAACACAACTATTTCAAAGGAAGCCTCTATAACCGCAACAAAGAATCACCACATTGTGGTCTCGTGATTCAAGGCTACAATACTGATTTTCTCCCTCGTTGAATTCATACTTTTCTAGAAAACAGAATTATAATAATTACTGATAATTTCAATAGTTTTTTAATTTATATGTGTGTATGTGTCTATGATTGTTGCGATTTACTATGTAAAAAAAATTAATTTGTCGCACGATCTACAGACTGCGTAGTTTTATTTAAAAAATTCTTCAAATAAAAGTTTTAAGTATTTATTTATCTACATACTCTTAACCGAATTTTTAAATTATTTTTCTGTTTTTTTTTTAAATAAACTTGTAATTTAATGTTTATAATAAAATTCAGTTAGATTTATAGAATAATTAATTTTGAGTCTGAACATAACTTCCCTAGCCCTCTAAAAATTTAACTACATTTTTTTTAAAGCAATACCAAAATTCTAGTATTATTACTATAATTGAGAGAACTTCCTTAAATGTCTAGTATAATGATAATGAGTCTGGTGTTGTTTATAGAAAATTGGAATGATATAAATAATAATAATCTTATAAAATTTCTATATCTAATTAGTAAAAAGGGATCTGCGGAATTCAGCACTGTCAACGGGACTTTTAATCTAATTTAGTTTTTTTTGTTTCACCTCTTATCGCGAGGTCATACGTCGTGGTTATCGAGTTTTTTCGCATCCTTACAAATGCAATCATCATTTATGTAAAAAAAAAAACGTACAGATATGGTCTAATTTTGTTCCTATATCGATAAACTTATCGCTAATAAGATAAATTAATCTTTTCACTTATAAAGTATTTCCTTAGAGAAGTGATTTAAAGTCCGATATTTTTTTATTATTTATCTACTATAAACTACGCATCAACTTTATTTCTTGTTTACCTAAAATTGAGTAGTTATATGTTATTTTTTTTGTCTAATTTCAGATCGGTTACCACGTCGATCAGGTGACATCCCTGGATCTCGAGAGCGTTCTATTGTTCTGGTGGATTCCGATTTATCACGATTGCCACTGCCAGACTTAGTGCTCTCAGCTGTGGAACAACTTCCAGCACCAACGCCTCAAGTAACTGTCTCGGCACCAAACAGTCCAACACGAGATGCAGCATTTCAATTTCCAGAATGTAATGCTCCAGTACCAAGTCCACGACCAAAACCAAGAAGACGTCGATTAACATCCGAAAGTGCAATCCCTGACAAAGGTCCATCGGATTCCAAAAAATGCAATAGTTCTTGCTGTTCAGGTCACTTAAACTTATGTACAACGCTCAAAGAGAGGGAATGGGTCACAGTTGGCGCTAATCTCAGAAACATCGCTGATGACTTTCATGCAGCCAGAACCAAGGTATTCGGGGTTTTTTTTTTATTACAAAGTACAAATGGGCAAAAAGTTGATTTTACGAGAGAACCTTTTCGATTTTTTCATAATCTAATTATTATTAGATGTTATTTGCACATTAGGAAAGATATGGTACGTAATGACCAAAAAGTAGTTTATTTAAGGTAGTAAGTTACTTTTATTTCCTAAGTTGTTTGTCTGGAGTAATTTCCGGTTTCATAGTTAAACTGTAACAGTTTTGTATCTGATACTTTGCATTCCATTTACTGCGTAGGTTTCCATTATTAGTTTGTAAACACCCTTTGCTCACATTAAGTGGGAAGGCCCTTTAACAAATGCAAGCACGCACGAACCAAGTAGTATTCTGCAAATGACGTTGGAACACGAAACTGCCTCTCACTCTCATTCTCTATAGTAAAATCTAAGTACAAAGTACAAAGCAGTAACGAGCTCAACGACGTCCCGCGGGGTCTGACACTAAAGTAAACCTTGCAACTTTTCACTTTGCCATTCGTACTTCGCAATTCCATTTATACCGTCTTTTTTTATATGTGTTATTAAATAAAGATTCTTTCTACCCTTTTAAAATCGAACAATAAATAAAATAGGCAATAACTGATATATAGTCAATAATATCCCCGCAAAATAAGTTCAATATTACTTAAACGTAGGAACATAGTTTTCTGAAAATAATGACCAATTTTCCATTTTATTTCAATCAGCAAATTAACGAGTTCTCCAATCATAACAATTTAAATTAAAAAAACGTCTAGTTCTAAATTTCGTTTACGATGTTCGACGTTGGATAATAATCTACAATTCAGATGGGACACGAACTTGGACGAGTAAGCGCAAGTTTAGTTATCGCACTTCCCTGATCCCTCGAGTACAATAAATATCAGCCCTACTTGTCTCACTAAGACATCAAATATAGCCTTCGATACAAGTCCCGTGGTAGCTCTCGCACTTTATCAAAATCGTTATCTACGTCTCTTGTGTTCAATGACCTGATCGAATTACATTAATAATCCGTGTTAATAAATCTTATATTGATAATTGACATATTAATTATTTTATTTTCATTTATCTGATTCATCAATCCTTTAACTTGAAGTTCTTCTGAGATGGAGGAATTAAGAGTATAGCAGACCTAGCGAATTGCAAACAAAAGATGAATTTGTCGCACATTCACAGTCAATGGAAATAATGCGGAAAATGAATAAAAAATTGATGATTTGATTAAAATTAACAGTGATAAAAAATTGTTTTAAATTATTTTTATATTACTAATTGGATTCCATTAATTGATTCCGAGAGTTTGATAAAAAAAAATGGTTGTTGGTAAAAATTTTGGCAAAAACCTAATTGGATTTTTTTCTTTTTGGTAAAAATTTTTTGGGAATGCATTATTTTGGAAAAAATAGTCCTCGGAACTGGTAGATTGGGAAAAGTGACCAACAATCGGAAACAAAACTTAGCTTTAATGAAATTAGCAAAAATTAACATAAAAATTTTTGCCAAATTACTTCAACTTTATTACTCAGATAGCATCGAGCTTTAAAAATAATTGAAATATTTCATGCTATACTACCATTTCTCTTGCTAAATCATGGTAAAATGAATTAGAATTAAGTACCCGTTATTAAATATGAAAAAATATATATTTAACTATTAGAAATAGAAAATAAAATTGAAGTTAAACGCAGAATTACTTTATTAACTTCAGTTAATTTAAAAAGTATTTCATTAAAAAAAAATCTATTTGAAATTTAAAAAAGTAGAGAATTAAAACAAAACTCCTAAAACTTTTTGGCTCTTAGAATTTAACAGATTTCTTAACCGGAAAGAGATTCAGAGGATAATTGAAATTTTCTTCCAATTATTTCAATTTCTCGCTATTTCTTATTTACTTTCCATCCATAGTATTTCGATCCCTTGTTTAGTGCCAGGGGAATAAAGAGACGAACATAGTTCTCTCTTTTATTTCTATCCGCTTTAAAGATCTGTCGGCTCGAAGCAATCCCGGGACGTCTAATTATTACTGTTTAAGTGCCGATAATTGAAGGGGGAAGAAGAGATCCGTGAAATTAAAGAAATCCCTCTTTTCCGCGATCGACCAATTTTCCCTTAGGTTATAAATCTGTAAAGTAGTTGTTCCTTGACAACAAGTAGGCAATGGTAATTGAGAATATTCACCTGCTACCGAAGACATTCAAAACTTGGTAAATTTACGAAACACGATAAATGCTTTTCATCCATTAACTGATTGTGGTTGGATTCATCAATAGATCAAAATGAAACTTTTGGTAATTTAGACAGACTGAATAAACCGAAACTCAACACCTAAAATTCCCCTTTTTCCTATATATGTCGCTTCAAACTCACAACTTTTCCAATTAATTAAAAGCCCCAGTCATGATTTCTTTTCCAAGTTTGGAAAAAATCTCAATTTATCTTACACTTGTCTTTAAAGGGTATCTTAAAGTAAAGTAAAGTCGGTTGCAAGCAAGATTCTAAGTCAAACGAGCGTAACCGAAGTGTGAATGCATCTTTGTAATTAAACTTCTTGTGAAAAGGTAAATAATTATCTCTTCGCACGAAACGGCTTTTAATCAAGCTTTGACTACAATAGCGTGTCTCTCTGAGATCCACTGTGTGTATGTGTGCAAGAAGTCTCACTCCCCCAACGCTTCCTGAGCAAAATTATCGAGCGTGAAAGCGGCACTTAAACCAATGCACGAATTACACGCATTTCTAGCAGTCTTGTTTCAGTGAGAGAGCTTTTCTTCGTTCAAATGCAACGCGTCTAAAGCTTCTCGGCTTCTGCTCGATTTACTAAACACGACAAAAGATGGTTATAGTTTGAGTAAATAATTTTCTGATACGAACCATTAAGCTCTTATGTCAACGACGACCAAACGAGACAAAGTATTTCTCTTTTGTTTTGTCTGATATTATTTTATCAAAGTTTTTGATGAACAATACACTGGTTAAAATTCCAGACAGTTTGTTGACTAAATCTGGAATTAGTCCGAAAGTGTCTGGTTTCCTACTGATTTTGAACATTTGTAATTTTGGATTTTTACGGACTCATTTCGGATTAGAATTTTCTACTAGATAAATTCCTGATTATTTTGGACTCATTTCCTATTACGTTTTTGATCGAATTAAATTCAGATTGTTGTGGTCTAATTAATTGATTTCGTATCGATTCCTAATACGAATCAATTTCGTAAAATTTCCGGACTAATCCGAACAAATGTTTCTGAATTTAATTCTAAAATCAGTAAGAAATTTTAAGATGATTATAAATTAGGGCCTGAATTTCTATTTGTTATTAAAGTTTAAAATTTTAATAGTAGAATATTTTGAAAGTTAAATATACAAAAGTGTTTGAGAAAAATATAAAAAAAAGATACAAAATGAAAATAAAGAAACACTGCATGTAAATGACTGAAGAAGATACCTATTTAGAACGAGGGATTTACAAGAATAATTTTCGTCTTTTCCCATTCGTCACTCGAAGCCCAACTGCATACTTCTCATATATGAACATTAGGGGAGGTAAGCGGGCATGTAACAGCAAAATTACCACATCCCCTTACATAAAATTAAGTGAGCATAGCAACATGTGCACCAAGAAAATTATCTTGAATTATATCTCTGGATTATATCTTTAGTTTTTGATTTTATCATCTTTTAATCATGATCGTTTTCACTTATCTAATTAATTAATTAGCACTTTGTAGATTAAAACATTTAAATCAAATAAACCCTTAGAAAATAATATGGATATTTCTAACATTTTCAAAGTGATGGGGAAAATATTTCGTGACGTTATTCCGAAGAATAAAATGATCAAATATTTTAGAATAAGGGTTAGGGTTAAATGGTCAACTGTTATCCCCTGTGACCTTACATCGATCATATAACGCTAGTAGTTCGATATATTTGGCGCATTGCCAAAATTCACCATACCCCCTCTTCAGCAGTGTTGTCAATGTCATAGAAATTTCCCAAAATTGAGTAAACTTGGAAAATTTTTGTGAGGAATATTCCCGGGAAACTATCGAGATTTCATTCCCGGGAGTGAACTCCCGAGAAATTTCCTATAGAATTCTCGGGAGCTCCCGAGAGTTCCATGAAAAATTCCATAGGGAATCTCCTGGGAATGAATTCTTGAGAATATTTTTCTTATTTTTATATTTCTTTTGGGTTTACTAACTTCCATTCCTCTGATTCTTGTTAGTTTTTTTGTAAATTTTAATTTATAAATTAACTAGTGTCTGAACTAAATTTTTTTTATTTTTATCAAATTGAATCCAGTCACGCTGGGTGAGGAATAATGTTTCTTTCATATTAAATTATCCCGTTTTATTTTCTTAAGCGTTATCATTAAGTTTAATTAATAATTTTTTTTTCATGTAATTATTCTACTTTATTTAAAATATCGTAGATTATAAATGAAAAGTTTTTAGAAAATATTGAATACGACACGAAATGTATTGTCGTAAGAGACATTAAGTCTTAGCAGGCCAATAAAAGTTGAGGAGATTGCATAAGAAGTTGTTCGATTGCATTAGACGATGTAGCAATGATTTACTCTTAACCATGTTCCTCGTTCAGGAGATGAAAAAAAAAGACAAACATCAGAAGGTAAAAACTTGCAATGGCCTTTATTGCAGAGTTTGTTTACACGCAACTCCAACTTGTCTCTATACCATAGAATATTTACGCGTAATTTTCACCCAAAGGATATAAGTGTTAAAAAAGGATTTCTTTTTTTTATATCGATTTGTGAAAAATTAGTTAACTAGATTAAAACAAAGCTATAATTTTCCTTTTTAGAGTATATCTGGTTTTCAGAGTGTAATTTACTTTTGTACTTAACATTTTCGTTCCGGGATTTCTTTCTGGGCGTAGTCACATAAAGTGGAACATTAGAACTGTAAAATTGATAATTTCATCTTTTAACATCTTTAGCTGTCGTTATTCAATCGAGTTGTGCGCAATTGTTGCTTCTGCGTATATCTTCGAACCGCAAGTTTTGTACTAGTTTAATTTTTTTCTATTATCTATGGCAAAATAGAGCTAGCGAACGATCCATTTCACTGGTAAGACGCGTAATTACCTTGCGCAATAGTTTTACCCTGAGGCATTAGCAACGCGCCCGTGCGATTCGAAGTAGTAAACATTGAGTACAACTTTATGTCTCTAGAACGGTGCTGCGCGGCAAGAAAGATGGCTTACTTATATATATACTTATATCGTTTAAGCCATTAAAACTTGACGGTCCTTTATCGTAGTATCGACATTGCGAAACTCGGTGGTAAAATATTCAGTGTTTTTCAAAGAATAGTTTATCGTCGTATTTAAATGTATGTGTTTGAAATTCGAATACCTTTGCGGTCTTATCATGGAGTATGACTAATATCAAAGATACACAAATTTCAACTTTATTGAAGGGGTTTGGAAGAATGATAAGGGAATAACTGCGTTTCTTTTGGATATCTTTTTTTTATTAGATTCTTTAAATTTAGAACATTTATTGTATTAAAGCTCTCCCTATATTATTTAAGATATGACGGTAAAACATAAAAGTAAAGAATAGCGGGGAATAATATAGATGCGATACGGGAGGGACATGAAAAGAAATGTCGAATTCTCCAAGAAGACACAATTAATTGACGAGGAGGATTCTCAGGAGTATTCTCTATATTGCAATAATTCTCCCTTAATGTGACGCGCACGATAATCTCTCTTCTCACACTATATACGGTGTGACTGGACTCAATGTTTGGAGTGTGGGTGAAACGACGGTGACCAGATATTATGGTCGACCATAAAGGCGCTTTCGGAGATTGGGCTTTCCCAAGTTTATTATTATACCGAGTGCGGATTAAGAAGAAACGAGAATCGGAAGTCGCGGTAGGGGCTGAACGACGAAAACAAAGAGAACCGTCGCGAATCGTTTCACGCCTTTGTATTCGCACGTGTGTACATTATCTATATAGATTGCATTATCTATAATATATATTTATCGTGAACGTAAAACATAATGTATATATTTTAACCGCACATTTTTTGCTAAACCTTTTTAGTTCAATGTTAATAGGCTGTTGTTAATCATGTTTATTAAATATTTATTATAAAATACATTGCAATAAAGTTCAAGATTATTAATATTAATTGTTAATTTCATCTAACTCCCTCTCGAATCGAAAACTATGAATGTGCGACGCATTTGTCGCACATTCGTCGCACAAGATAGTTTAAATTTTTTTAAAGATTCTACTTTTTTTGTTAATGATCCTTGAAGAAATCTGTTAATATAACACTATTGTAAAATACGAACAGAATTCTTGCTGCTAAAACATCTCTCAAAATAAGTAACAGTTCTATATAATACGATCCAATTAGGATACTCCCCAATTAGGAAGTAAACTGTATCTCGACTTTTCGTGTTTGTTTTTCTCCTCCACTTGAAAAAATAATAATAATACTTTGACTTTGTAAGATTATTGCACAGCTCAGTAAAAGCTACTGAAGTACTTAGGTATTAGGGGTCCTTTAAGCCACACACTAACGGTGTATATTTTATTCTTAAACTCTGAATTGGTGAAATTTTAATTTGAATAAAACAAAAAGAAATTTATTTAAATTGTGTAGATATACGTTTATTTTCTGGTTCATTTTGAGTTAAAGATAAATTGATAATTACTGGCGAATTAAATTAATAATTAATAATTAATTAATTATTCATAAAAAAATGAATTAAAACTATGATGCAATTAACAAACACAATTTAGATTAGGAACTTACAATTGACAGGCATGAGTGCCAACCACACTAATTAAATCTAAAAAATAAATAATTTAAGAAGTACATAAATTATTAATTATATTAATATATATGATTTAATTTCATTTACTTTTATTTAATAAAACAAAAAATATGTAATTAATTGAATTTAAAAATAAATAATTATTATCATGAATAATTTATTAATTATTTATAATTATTATTATCATTCATTACTCAATATCATCAGTATTTTTAATTAATTCAAATTAATTCAAATTAAATGAAATTAATAAAATAATGGATATATTAAGAAGTAAAGTGAATAAAAGTAAATTAAACAAAATAAATTTATAAAAGTAAACTAAAATTGAAATTAATTAAATTAAACTGTTAAATTCTGGATTCATTACATATGAATTATTTTGTTTCTTCATCATTAGATAGCGCCCTATTAAATAGTCTATAGTTACTACCAACATAATAATTATAAAATTTGGTCATCTAACTTAATCTGAATAAAGTTTCATTCAAAACGTAAAGTTTACTGTTTATTCATTTTTATAAAGAACTCAAAATGAGTTACAGTAAAAATGAGTTCAAGTTTTTTCTGTGTTTAGTTTGTAAATTAATATACAAAATGACTGATGGAAATAATCATAAGTTGTTTATATGAAAGAAAATTAAAAATTAACATTCCGACGACAGATTTAATAAATAGAATTTCTGGAATTAAATTGATTTTATCAATTATGGATTTTGGAATTTTAAATCAGTTATCGGAAAATAAATCATGTTTTCATTTTCTAAGCGCTGAAATTTATCATGAAAATTATTTATAGTTATTTTTAATGTTTCAGGATGCGGAAATGGAGAAGTCGAGATTGCCAGTGCTGGGTTCGACATTCATAAGCAACTCCAACAATTCGTCGTCAACAGATAGTATTTTATCAATGTTGATCCCGGCACCACTTCGAGAAACACTCTGGACGACAGTGGCTCTCTACCTTGGTTGGAGGCTGGTGTCACGTTTACGATAGAGTTACCTTGCTTGTATCTTTGCTTGCCATAATGACAGGCATTAAATAGGCACAATTCAACAAGCATCAAGTGTCTCTCTATCTGTGAGCCATTTGATATCTATTGGTCATCTTCGGAGATATGCGCACCAAAACCAATTAGTACATGATCTAGACAGAGATTTTGTCCCATCGCCCTATGGCCAATACTTAGAATTTGTATGGTTGAGATTCCGATGAATCGGAATTTTACATAACCCAAAAATTCTAACTTCTTTTTTAATACCTATGACGTATTTTTGTAAATTTTTGCCAGTCAACGTACTAAATTGCTGATGACTGTTTTGCAGTAAATATACAAGAGCAACCTATTTAAAAATTCGAATTTCTTGCCAATGAATTTTTGAGAAAATAGTGTTGTCTTGAATGAATCTTCACTTGTAAGTCGTTGATAGTAGATAATTACAAGTTGATAGATATTTTAATATCTTGTTTTACTTTTGCATTCTTATATGCGGTGATAAAAAAAAATATGTCACCTTATTCACTGAGGCCCAGAGAGTGCCATGTATCTCCCTTAGTGATCTTACGAAAAGCAAACGTTTTTTAGATGTATTGATCACAACATGAGTGATTTTAGAAATTTTTGTAGTGATTATCGGACCGGAAAGGGATACGGGGAAGCTACGAACGAGTTCCAAAGAGAACTTAACTCAATAATCAAATTATGATCTCATTATGGATAAATAAAGAGAATTAAATAAGATAGTGCTATTGTATATGGTGATAACAGAAAAAAAAGGTCGTGTCTTGCTTTATAGGTAATGCAGTTTAAGAGTCAACAAAGTTTAATATTATATTAAATGAAATGTAAATGAATTTGTTTTTGTCAGATAAACTTAATTATTCACTCACGTGAAATTTATTTTTCGAGATACTCGAAACTAGAAAATTATATAATTTTACATTTGTGTTTTAGAGAAAAAAATTTTAACCTATATATGGTAATTAATGAATTTGTCTTTATTTTAAAATTCTTGTACTATGTGATAATTCGTGATATAATTTTAATTGATCGAAATTATAATATTTCTGTGTTTTTCGAGGGATAAATAGATATATAACATAAGACAAATAAATTACCAATAAACTTATGAGGTGTTGTGATAATTTTTTTCAAATTTCGTGCATCTCGTAAGAGCATTATAATTTTTTTGGGGATAAAATTCAGTCCTGTTTCTTAAAGGACAGGAATCGCAAAGAAAATTTAAATGTAACGTGAAGGAGTAACTTTTTTAATGTATAAAAAGCAACTACAGTAATTAAATCATTAATAAGTCGCGGTTTAATTAATTAAAGTAGATAATCGATAGATCGAGGATCGCAGCATATGATTGGCTCGCTGCGAGACCCGTGGACAGTTTTCAAATGATCTCCGGTAGCTTAGCTCTTAGAAGCGTTCTTATCCAAGTTGAACGTTTATTATAGCACTTCGGAGGAGGCGTCTTTTTACTATAATGTTTCTCTGTTTTTATTCTACATATTCCTTGTTTTTATTATTTTCTTTATCAAAAAAAAAAACCTTTATCTTTAAATATGAAAGTCTTAGTATTTATGAAAGTAATTTCATTGGCTCATGTATAACTATTAGGAGATTTATCTATTGTAAGAAATTAATACAGTTACTTTATTTGCTCATATTTAGTTTTTGTTACAGAAAAGAGTAGAAGAATAGTTCATAAGAACTGATAATAAATTTCAATGTTAATTTTTTTTTTTGCTCAAGTTGAACAAGTTGGTGGATTTTTTTTAGCATTTCTTCTTCCTTATTACATATAGAGTTGTTGAATTTTGATCCTGAGGATCAAAATGGGAATGTACAATAGCAACAGAGAATAATCAGGATGATGAAGTTCACAACGTTTGTTAATGATTATCAAAGAGATATTCGGTGTAAAAAACAGTTTTCCAAAGTTTAATTATCAATTAGACGAAAAATGTTATTGTTTTTTTTTTGAATCATTAATCACAATCGTTGAGAAGTTGGTCATTATGAATAATCCGCAAAAATGGTTATTATGAATCCACTTCTATCTGTATTATTTTTCTATATTTCTTACTTGTGCCGTAATATACTTGTCGCTAATGAGTATTCCAGTGTGTATAGTCATAGTATTTATTTAGATAGCATATCTACTTCCGTATTCCCTTTATCTACGAGCCTGAAATCGCTCTTTTAATCGTCGCGGTCAAATAATATTTCATGTAAAACATAAAAGTAATTGAGAATTTTAATCAAGGATGACACCAAAGATATTCTTTCATATTTCTGTAACAATATGATCTATATTTATTAAATTCTTTAAGTTTTAATTATTCGAAAATTTAAATAAACATATTAATAATTAAATACTAAAATTTTTTTTAATTTAAAATTTTTTTATCGTTAAATTTTATCACATAAAAAAAATTAATCTCAATTTCTTTTGTGAAATAAAAGAGTGATATATTTGAAAAAAAAAGCAAGTACTATTGATCTTTATAGCAATAGGAAATCTAATTAGTGTCCTGAGACACTATATTTCTTCAACCAAAATAATGTAATCCTCTTTTTTATATTGCACAAGGTGATACGACGCACAAACAAAAAAAAATGTGTGGCCCTAAGGCCAAAAGTTGCTTATTTTATATGATAGACGCGATTTTAGAGAAATAAGCAGAAGAAAGTAGGAAGGAGGTTATTGTGAAGGCCTGAAGAAATTTTAAGATGAATTTTTAAATATGAGAAACAGATTGCATGTAAATATTAATGCTTTTCCCGTGCCCGTTAATAATCACGGTGCCGAATGTTTATTTGTTTTTTAATTATTTTTTTATGAAATAGAATCGTAATTATTTGTAGCTAGTAGTCAGCCATATGAAGAATGAATAATTACTGATAAACATTGATAAAAAATATATAAATATATATATATGGAAGACATAAATATATGAAATATATATGAAATATATATTTTAAATGATATATTTGGAAAAAAAATACCAACTATTGTTTCGAATAACAAAAAGTCGAAACTTTTTGAATGAAACGAGAGTCAAATCGCCATATAAGGCAAATTTTACAAGATTTATAGAGAGGCGTTTGTGAAAGGTTTTCAAAAGCGCGGTCCATAATGAAGATGAAACAAAGAGGTGGAATATAAGCTGTAACTGTGACTATGTGGATCGTGGGGGGCAGGCTGTGTTTTTTTTAAACATATAATTTCGAAATAATCCCTCATAACAGCCGGATATTCAGAATATCCACCGATTATCTTGAATAGCTGGGTGTTATGCGGAAAACTGAAATTTCTTTTCAATATTTCAAAAAAAAAAAAAAAAAAAAAAAAAAAAAAATAAGTTTACAGACGAAAGACAGCAGCCCGCCCACCCGAGATCCCCGCGCGTCAAAGCGTCACTGTGATCTCGTAATTATTAATAAATATCTAATTATAATGACGAATAATCATACGAATATTTGTAAAAACCACAAAAAAAACCATCCCTAGACCCAATCCAATTCCTCTCAACCACGTGAAAGAGTCTAAGATTGTATTTTGCATTTATTATTGTGTTTTTTAATTATATTTTACAATATATGCATTTAGTTTGTAATCAGAATTCTAATTTTAAAACACACCTTTCAAATGATCTCTTGGAGGAGTCGATTGCTGTTACGCGAGCTTGCACTTCCAATGCCCTTCGATTTTCGTTCAAAGAATTTTAGTTTCTTTATGTTTTTTTTTTTTTTACTTATTCATATATATTTTTATGTTTCTACCATTTTATACCAGAGTATTTTCTTAATTCGGAAAACGAAGAGCATTGGCGCTCATGCTAGTTAATTTACTTCTATAATATTATTATTGTATTATTACGATTCTCATTATTATTATTATTATATTATTATTATATTATTATATTATTATTATTATTATTATATTATTATTATTATATTATTATTATTATTATTATTATCATCGACTTGATGATTATTAGCTGTATTGTATCGTCGCAGTTAAGTTGAACATTACTCCTGCGTTAAAGAGGTAATCGACTAGTCTTTACCAGACAGAGATTCTTTTTACGATATTGGGTATTTGCTGAGATTGAGATTTTTTCTGGTTTCATTTTAAGCATTTTACCGCTTTGTACCGTCATAAGAAAGCGACAATGTTAATTGCGTATAAATTTTTAAAACCTTTGTTCAATTATGCTATTCTCATTGTCGTTCTTTTCATCACAGAGGATAAAGTAGGATAAATTCGCGCTTGCGCAGAATATAAGATCATCAATCGCATTTTTGATTTTTCTGCGCAGACGCGAATTTATCCTACTTTACCCTTAGCGATGAAAACAAACTCTATGACATTTGTTTTCTTTTTTTTTTCAATGTCCCAGTAATAAATTATTGTAGTACATGTTTAGAATGGTATCACTCGATCTTCTTTTGTCAGTATTTTAATTTGGGCCTCGTCTCGCGCCGCACCATTTTACTGCCAATAATATGCATTTCTCGTATCTGCTAAAGATTCTTTTTTATTTTATAATTATATAAAAACCAATTGATGATATTTTCCCATGTTCTTTCTATAAAGTTTCTTTCTTTTTTTTCTTTTACAAATATTGGGAATTTTTTTGTTAAACACGAGATCTCGCTAAATGAGAAATGCCGTCCACGGCTATGAGAAAAGGCTCATTTTTATTAGCATATACTCCAAAAAAAAACACTTTCACGTGAAAAACTCAAATTAATTCTTTATAAATATTACTATGTTTAAAATTAAAAAAGAATTTTTATTTGCTCAGACTGTCTAAGTTTGCCATAAATATGTATTTTTTTTTAAAAAAAATGCGTATCAACGTGCACAAAATGTGTCAAGGAATCTCAATGATAATTTTTCTCAAATTTCAATGGTGCCAATCGCAATACTCTTACACATGCACGCACGTCTCGAGCCAGAATGATCGAAGGGAATAGTAATGTTAGTTTATAGTTTCTATTGTCTTTTTTTTTTGCTTGACTCATTTTATTCGATCTCTCGACTTTTGTCTCCTTTAGCGCTTTAACAAAAAAAAAAAAAAAAAAAATGTGATATGTCTAATTAGAAAAAAATTTTCTTCATCTCTGATAAAAGATATGGGCAGTAATGAAAAAAATTTTCACTTAAAACATTTTTTAAATTACTCCAAAATATTTTTAATGCAATTTAATATCAAAGTGCACTTATTTAAAAACCATATCTCTCGTCAGTTAGCGCAAAAAAATTTTTGGGACCAGAATCAATATTGTACCTACGATTAAAAATTTCTTTTTTTATAAGAGCTAACGAATACTATTTTTATTATAAAATTATTTTTAATTATTCAATTAAAAATCCCAGTGAGACTTAGTCGAGGATCGCAATAGGAACTATTTTTTTTTATTTCCCAATTTTAAAGAACCTTGTAATTTTTGTAATGCGTTACCTGTAGCCAAATGGACCATTGACCGCCGTGATCTATTCGATTATAATATAGAAAAGAAAAGAGAGAGAGAGAGAGAGAGACAAAATGAGAGTGAGAGTGAGAGAGATTAAACGATTGAAAGGAAAAAAAAATTGTTCATTGTTTTTGAATTTCTATATAAAAAAAGAATGTAATTGTCTGCTCTCTCTCATGCGACGCTGGCTTTAAATTTTAAAACATCAACAAGTTTTAGTAAACACAGATGCTTTTCTCATATATAATAAACAAATTTTTTATAGCTGGTTTTGCTCTCAAGCTGCTGTAAGCTCGCAATTGCCTTGTGATAAAGTCTGGACTATGTACCGTTTTGTTGTTGTTTCTTTTTTGTTTTTGCAATTATCAATTTTGAAAAAGAAAGAAAAATATGAAAAAGTAATATATGTATAAAAGAAAAAAAATATATGTATATCGAAACGAAATTTCGTCCAGCTGACCAATCCAAAGAAGTGACCAAATAACGAAGAGGAAACGTTATTTGCGAGTGTTTATGCATGTACTTGAGACGCTACATTCTTTTATTATTTTTTTAATGATTATTTGTTTACGAGAAATTGAAAAGAACGGCGGTCACGTGATAATGTATCGTATAAACAATTCCCTTTTGCGGATATACGATTGTTCTGTTGTATTATTCTTTCGTTTTTTTTTCCTATACTTTTTTTTAAGAATCAATGTTATGACCCGTTAATGCCTTTAAATCGTCTAGGTGACGTTGTTTGGTTCCTAAAGTAAATTAGAAATGGTGCCGTGATCAGTGGCGTAACTAAAAAGCAAAAAAAAAGATCAACCTGCAACATTTTTTAATTGAGCTACATCATAAATAATAGTAAATATATTATATCTTTTCTGCTCAGTTTGCAGGGAGATCTTTGAATCCACTTTATAATAGTTACGCTATTGGCCGAGATGAAAATCAGAATTAAAAAAAAGGTAACATTTTCTTCATGCGCAATGCATTATCTCAAATTATTTTTTAATTTCTCTTTTTGTTTCTTAATCAGTCTTTTTTTTATTTACTTCCATTTTGTATTTGATTTTGAAAAATAATCAAATTCTACGCACTAAAAGTTTTATAAATATGTACAATTAAGTTTCTTATTGCTGTATAATTGAAAATGTAAAATCGTTATAAAAAAAAAAAATATTTTTTTATATGAATCAAAATTATTATTTAAGAAAGGAAAAGAGAGATTATAAAGAAAAAGCGCAAAGCCACAGGACCCAATCATACGATGCTGTGTTATTTAAGTCATTATAAGACAATACGTTATTGCTACTTTTATTTTATTTTATGACATTTTTTTCATGTTATTAATTTTATTATAATTTTACGTGCTAAATGAATAACTGTATTATTCATATTATTTGATTTATATTTCAGTTTTTTTTATTCTTGTAATTATAAATTCCTCTTCCTATCCCTCTGCTCCCCATGTTCCGAATCTTAAGGGATCGTTTTTACGTCCGCTATTAAGTCGATGTATTTTTCGAATCAAGAATTTTATTAAAAACAAAAGTGCGAAGTGGTTAGAAGTCCAACAATGAAACGTATTATTAATTATGTAAACACGGACAGGGGCATCTCTCCGCTACCCGCATGTCTTTCATTGTACAGATTTTTTCACTTTTATAGTTATCGTAATGTTACGATATCGATTACTCGACAACTATATTGTTGTCGTATTATTATTGTACTTGGTTTTTTATTAAATAAATGTGAACACGCCGAAAGCATATAAGATTCTTGTTTTTATTTCTCCATTTGTCATATATTTATTACTGTTTTTTAAAAAAATTAAAAAGTAAAATTACTATTGGTCCAATTTCAAAGTTTCTTTTTTGTTTTAGAGAGAAGGATAGATTCGTTTTAGGAGGCAGTACAAAGTAACAATAAATTAACAAATAATTAAACGTAATAATCAATTATTTTCTATTAATTTGAATCTCTATAAAAATATATAGATCATACCCTCACAGCACCGAATATATTTAAGGATATCCCTGGGACATCCTATGGATATCCATTTGCTTCCAGTGGTTTAAATATCCTACTGATGTCCAAACCGCCGGAATCAAATAGATATCCCTAGGATGACCCAGGGATATCCATAAATATCCTGTGCTGTGAGGGTACATGATGAAAAAGAAAAAACATTTAAATAATTTTCTAAAGTTAACTGTAAAAATTAATGTTAACAAACTAATAAAATGACTTACAATTATCATTTGACAGGAAGAAACGATTTTAAGATAACTTATATAACAATTCACTATGGCAAAATTAAATTAAGATTCAAAGGGACACTAATATTGTAACTATTAAACTACTATAATTTTAATTGTTTTACTGTAACTTAAAATTGAACTCCATTTAATATAACTATAACACAAGAATATTCCGATATCAAAATAGTTTACATTAAAAAACAAAACTAAATCATTATCAAGATTCCTTAATATGGAATAACACTATGCTTTCAAAGCAACCCCACTTCTGTGTTCAACAGATCTAAGTTTTCTCTAATCTCCTGAGAAAATTCGAAATTAAGGTATATCGCCCACGTGAAAATATTCCCGGGATAAGTCCCGAGAATTTTCCGGGAATTGAGCAGAATAAAGTTTTCTAAAGTAAACCAAGTTCCTACGAGATGTTCTGGTTAATTCTAGTTAATTTCATTGAGCATCCCACGTTAAAATGTCTTCGTGAGAACTTTTATGAATTTCATGGGAATTTTTCATAAATTTTCCAAATAAATTTCAGTTTCCGATTGACCTATTTTGGATCTTTTTTCTATAAAATAGAACAGAATTATTATAGAATATTTTAACAAAGTTTTAGATGTCTTTAAACGGCATCTATTTGCGAATTTAAAAACGTATTAAATTGAAAATTCTAAATTTTGAAAATGATCAATCTCTAGACGGTAGAAAGTGTTCATGTTCCTAATGAACACAAAAGGTTACTCTAAATGAACAGTGCAACACAACTTTACAGCGATATTTTGATTTAATTAAATACTAAAAAATGTTTCTTTTTTAATTTTAATTTAGTAATATTCACCTTATTGTTATGCTGACTTACACTCCATCAAATTTGACTGTTTATCAATCCAACTAGCATGATAATGTTGAATGATTTCGGATATTGTAACTTATGCAATACTACTTAGTTTTAGGAGTACTTATGTACAAAAGGGCTTGTCCCGAATATTTGAATAAATAAATAAAATAAAAATGAAAACATAAAATTATTTATTAATTCAGCATCAATATTCTTCGCAAAAAATGAACATTATTTATTTATTGATAAATTTTCTTCTCAGCATTTAATTCAATGAGTTATTATTTCTTAAAGATTTAAAAAATAAATAAATTCGTTTGTTGACAATTTCCAAATATTTAATTCAATTTTTTAAAATTTTTATAAAGAAGATCCAAAATAGGTCAATCGGAAACTGAAATTTATTTAGAAAATTTGTGAAAAATTCCCATGAAATTCATAAAAGTTCTCACGAAAACATTTTAACGTGGGATGCTCAATAAAATTAACTAGAATTAACCAGAACATCTCGTAGGAACTTGGTTTACTTTAGAAAACTTTATTCTGCTCAATTCCCGGGAATTTCCCGAAAAATGCTCGAAAATTTCTCGGGAATCAACTCCCGGGAAATTCTCGGGACTTTTCCCGGGAATCTTTTCACGTGGGCGTCTGCTTTCGCGTAAACACTAACTGAAAGTAGAAATGTTATATTATATTATATATTTATCATATTTCTTATTTTATTTCAGGCTATCTTTCTAATATTAAAAGATAAAAAAATTATTGTTGGAACAATTAAATAATAATTTTATGAGACAAATGGATGGAATAGAAAATTTTGGTTTCAAAGCTTACAAAAAAATTTAAATATTCCATTGCATGTTAGTAACCGGAACATTTGAAAGCAAGTGGTAGAAATGTGACTGGAAGGCAAATGAAAGGAAATTATACTTTAAATATCGTTAATTTTTTATTTAATAATTAATATACACTGTTAATACTCTTTGTATATATATATATATATATATAAACGTATGTACATACATAACAAATTGAAAACAATATTATTTAAATTAAAATTATTATATTTCTGGCCATACCAGAAGTAATCCTGTCGTCATCAATCAGGCCCAAAACGCCTTCACTTTAAATATACGGACCTTATACCGTATTATTCAAAGTTATTGAAAATGATATTGTACTTACATTGCTGACACTGGTAAGAACCCATTTCCTCTTGGACCTCTTTCTTCCACTTACTTCAGGAGCTCCTGTGCTGGCGACCTTTTCACCTTACTGTCTAATTTAATAGTACCCCTGTTTTCCATATTATTTCTAACGTAATTAGTCCTATCCCTTCTCTACTGCTATATCAGGGTATCCTTCTCTGTTATGTTCCGAACTAGGCGTGGTATTTAAATAAAATGAATTTTTTTTACTTAAAGGTAATAAGGCTGATTAATCAGGTTGGTAAAGCGTGATATTTATTTTTATGTAGGATCGTGGTCACTTGTCAAAACTACGGGTTTTACGTTACAATAACAAGTCAAATATTCCCTTTTATAACATTTATTGATTAAATAATAATTATATAGTAATGATTATACAATAATGATACAAGTTTACAATTCTTTTACTTACTTTCAGCGATGAAGTCGGATAAATCGATGATTATAGCTTAGTCGTTATAAATTGGTTTTCATTTGATTTGAAATAGTTCGTTTTGTTGCACTTGTGTAACTTTAACGACTTTTATTGTTTTATAACTATTTAAAAAATTACAATATCCTTTATTGTTATTTCTCGTCACTCGCACCTTTGACAGGAATGAATTTTTAGTCGCCCGGGTATCTTGCAAGAAATAAACACAAAATTATTTATTTAAAAAACAAAATAATAATATTTATTATAAAATTTTATTTGCTCTCGGAGCGAGGTTGTGCTCTGACGAGATTTAGGTAAAGACTCAATGAAAAAATGGCGACAGGGTTTTCAAAGCGTCGCTTTCAGGAAAATTATTGTAGTTGGACAAGGATGGAGAAGGTGTAAAAAGAGAGGGTAAGGAGTGTACAGAGTACATTGCCGGGCTACTTGAACGGACCGATTTTATGATAGGGTCGGCCGTAGGTACCTAGGAAAGGATGGCATGATCGCCAGGCCAGCAAGAGAGCTCACTTTAGGAAATACAAAAATTTAAATATTGAAAATATACATTAAATAATCTGAGCACAACCATATTCCAAATACATAAAATTACAATTATTAATAAAAATGTAGTATTAATACATATTGTTTGTGTGTGTGTATTTGTGTACATGTCTGTGCATTTTCAGATTAGTGTATATATATAAAATATAATTATAAAGTTTATATTGTTCAAAAATGTGGAAATAAATTTCCAGACGCCACAAATTTTATTGCAGGTGTAAGAGAAGCAACATATACTAAATTGATAAATTTAGAAAAAGAGATAATGCAAGATTTCTTTAGTATTTATAATTATAAATACGACAGTCATTTCTATTAAATTATTGATCCTAAGTGTTAATTTGCTTCTCTTGGACCTATTGGCTATAAGGAAAGAACTGTGTTCTAAGTGAAAAGTCAAATTAACTTGCACCTATTGGCTATCATGAAAGAATACAATAATTATGGCAAAAGTAAACTGAAGGGTCGCTCTACAATGTTAGAGATTGCACCGGAACTTTTGACAAGCTTTATGGAAAAAGCTCTTGTTTATATACTAATCGATTATGCTAATTAGTGGGAGAAATGTCATATTATTGAGAAGGTGGTGATCTATAAATAGAATCGCTTTCCTTAAATGGTAATGATCTACATCGCATATATGACAATGAATCGCCTTCTTTCTGGATTCTCTCTCTTATATGCTGACAATGGGCTTTTGAAGATCATATTACACTTGGATCTTCACATTCTTCACGCGTATAAACAAACAAGCTCGAACTTGTTTCACATTTTGCTTACATATATCTTATTATTAGCTTTTCAACTCTCTGAACTTTTATGGTGAAAACGAATGTCATATCTCTTTTGAAATCGATTTCGTTTCCACGCTCTTTCCTATCAATATATACATAAATAAGACATATAGTTGAAATATAGTAAAATTATCATAGAATTATATGAAATGTCTTATTTTAATGATAATTTTAAGAAAAATTAGGGAAAATTGTTACCGGGATGTAACATTCTCTTATCTGGCCTTAAGGTATTTCTCCGGCAAATACAGGATTCCTAATCTGAACATGCAAAACTCTCACATTTTATTGAATTATTTAAAAAGTTATCGATAGATTTTTTTTAAAAACGAATATATTGTAGAATGGAATTAATAGAATAATATAAAAAAAGTTTTAGTAGGGGTAACCATGCTAATTTTTTAAATACAACGTTCTGAAGTAGAAAAGTTAGGTTATTTATAGATTTTTCAAGAGAATCAAGTATATTACTCGCTTGAGAAAGAAAGAGAAAACACGACAGTGAAGTGAGTCGCAAGGAACTGAGCACCACTGGAGCCGGAGATATACCTTAAGAAAGGCGAAGACAACTAATAGTAATAAATGAACTGGGGTGGGATTCCGATAAGCGACAGTGATATATAGTACCGTGCTATATAGTACTGTGCTATATAGTACCGTGCTATATAGTACTGCGCTATATAGTACTGTACTATAT